AAAAAAAAAAAAAAAAAAAAAAGAACAAAACAAAACAAAGCAAAAACTCTTATATCCAAACATCCCAAAGAACTGAAATCATAGAACTTATTGCAACAAATGAAGTAAAAGGTACCATCAGCAATCTTTGTTCGAATTCACTATAAATATTCAACATAGCATTCAGACATATACTACTACAGTAATGCTAAGGAGCCAACTGTTTGCTCCGTTACGGACTGGCAACCCTTACCAATTTGCTCAGGATCACATTTGGTAAGACAAGCGGTCCCAAAAACAAAAGTAAGAATGATGATGATGGAAAGATCAAGTGAACAGAGAAAAAAGGCGCAAAATGAATGCAAGAAAAGAGATCTAATGATCAATCAATAATTATATACTGGACATACAAGATCACATATAGAAGCAAATAATAAAATTGTTGCCAATGCAAGGGAGGAATTACAATGCAAGGGACGACTAATTCGGTACTCAAAATACCAAGTAAACCATATATATATAGATATAAGTGTGGCAATGCACATCCCGAAAAGAAACATCATCTCCTAAAGGCAAACTAGATATACTCAAAAAGCAAGAATTTACAATACCACAACAAAAGCCTTCTCCCCATGCCGCAATTGCTGAGCGCAAAAGATTTTGTACATTTAGGGGTTGTGATGATTTTGCTCATTATACTTTCTTGAGCACCAACTTCTGGAAATTATCCACCAATGAAAGCATCTAATGAAATATGGGCCACTCAAAAAAGCTAGCACTCTTTCAAAATACCTTGATGATGTTCTTCTCTATATCTTGTGGGCAGCTCCTCTGGCAGTAGGGCTCTTCACACCTCGTGAGCTCAAACTGGCGGTTCTTAAAAGCCTGCGGAATTCAGATAAGCTGATCTTTCCATCTTTGTCAATATCAGCTTCTTCTAGAAGCGGGTCTATCGAGCCCCTTAGGCCAGTGTGCTGTGATAGTGAAAGAAAAATAAGTAGAAAGAAGCCACAAGAGAGAAAACACAAAGGTTTCTTTTTTTTTCATTTTTTTTTCGCCTGAGGACATTTAGAGGAAAAATACTCTTACCATTTTAAGTTCTTCTGGAGTTATGAACCCATCTCGGTCGACATCAAATTTTTCAAAGGCCGCCTGTGATCTCTGCTGCCATTTTTCCGAATTATGCTCTTCCAATTGATGGACGTGCAGAGTGGCTGCAACAAACTCGGAGAAATCTACAAGCCCATCGGTATTGCTGTCAATCTAACAAAATTCAAATAAATAAATATACAAATAAATAAATAACAAAGGTAAATGGCAAGAGAAGAACTGGGAAACTCTCATTGTGATGCAAGACATACCGCTTGGAGTATTTCAACAACTCTCGAATCCTTCATTTTCCAAGGAAGATCCTTTTCCAAGGCCTAAAGTAAAAAATAAACGTCAAATGGTGCATTGCTTATTGAAACTTGGGGAAAATAAAAGCTCAAGAAAACAAAAGGCTTAAGTAACTCCCGCATAACAATAAAAAGAAAACAATTAACCTGTCGCATTTCTTCAAGGCTAATGGCACCATTTTTGTCCACATCGATTGCATCAAATTGGTCCCGAAGGTTAGAAAGCTCCTCCTCGTCAAGTGTACTGGCCAGTGCCTGGTGTAATATTAATTTGTTTCAATACAGTTAGTTAGTTAATTGCCTCCCTTGCAGTTGTATCTCAAGAGTCACCATAGAAATTTTAGTAAAAAAAAGAAAAAAAAAAAGTGTTACCCGAAGTGCAAATTGCTTGAACCGACTGTATTTGACGAACTGCCGCATATTGGATAGAACAGAAATGTCGAGAGGAATCTCTGAAGCTTCACCTCCTTCTCGAACCCATGGATGAGCTGCATAAAATCCACCAATTATAAGTTCACCAACATAATAGATTTGGCAATCCACACATTGTTTTAGGAGTTTTCGAAACATAAATAGCCACAGGATATACAAATTAACACCGATTTCAGTATCGAAGCTTTCTGCATATCCTTCGCACAAAACTAAAAGGCCTAAATTAAATGTAAAACCAGAATAACTCCCTGTTTACCAAATTAAGTCGTTGAAAATTTACGTCGCCCCTGGCAATCACCACCAAGAAAAACTTACTAAGCAAAGAAGACGCATAATTTTTTAAAATGACCTTTACTTTGACCAATTTTTGTTAGGCGCGAGCAATGGGCCAAAGTAATAGTCGCTTTATGGCATTATACAAAAAAACTGCATTCTAAGTGCGAGAAGGCCTGCGAATTGTTTGATTTTCAATTTTCTTGACGTGATAATTGGGTTTCATGAACATCCAATTCTCGTGTTGATTAGACCTTGTGATGAATGTAAAATGTAAGACGAAATTTTGTAGTATAATGGGTGTAAGATGGAAATGAAGTGACTAAAGTTGGTGTGATGTAGGAATAATAAAATAACGAGTGGTAGTTTTGAGTGAAAGAATTGTTAAGTTTATAGCAAATTAGTAATGATCTGGGTTTATGTTTAAAATGGTATTGATAAAATTGAGGGAAAGCTTTTGTTGGATTCTATAATGTTTGGTAAAAGAATTTCGACATTGGCCCAAACGTGAAGTAGCTTTACATACCCAGACAAACAATTTCTTTGGCCATCATAGACATCGGTGTAAGTCTAATCGACCTAACCTTATGAGAGCACAAAGCTTGTCCTTCTAAACCTTGTGAGAGTCATCTTCAAGTCTAAGCAAATGGAAGTAGTGAAAATCCGATTAAAATTCTAGCTCCTAACAACAGAAGCAAAAGAAGATCAGAAGCTACTGCCTCAAGGAGAAAGTGACCATTAAGTTCAACCCTCTATCACCTCTATTCATTTAATCAATTTTCTGGAAATTTCTGGCAATTCTAAATCTACAATGTCTTGAATTAGGATTTGGGCTCCAAAAAGTCTTGTTCATCATATGATCCAGCCATCATTACTCAAATAACCAAATCAAATGTTGCACCAAGTAAACTGTCGATCTCACTGTTGACATGAGTGCATAGTCTGCAGTAACAATTGTCTTTTTTCTAAAACAATCAAAGTAAATATTATACTATTAAAGTGGACTTTAACTAAATCCAATCCCCATGAGTTTATAAACTTTGAGGGTGTCATTCCATACCCACCCCCACAGGTCTTAACTAGTCTCGTCTTCAACAGCTCGAATATTTGTCACAAATTAGGTCTATAACTTACAGAAAGCATATAGTCTGGCATGTTTTGAGAGTATATTCATAAGTGACAGATTGCATGCAAAGAATATTTCTTTCTGAAGGAGAAATATAACCTTCGTTTTTACATGTTTGCAGAAATTCCCATATTATACCAAAGAATAACGCTACAAACACACCCTCCTTGTATAATTACAAGGGTAAGGTCTGCGTACAACTGACCCCCCGGACCCCAACCTGTTGGGAATGTACTGGGTTTGTTGTTGTTGTTGTTGTTGTTGTTGTATACCAAAGAATAACGCTGAAAAATGTTTTCTGTCTGATTTGTTTTTTTTTTTTATTTAACCTGGTTACCAAACTAAATGTTCTCCAAAACCAGTCAAATTTCCAAATACTCACTCACATTCTAATGTCCAACCAAAATAACCAGATGATTGCAGCTCATAAATGTTTCCCTCTCCCCTAGACACTATCCACCTCCACAACAGGAAAAGAATTTATCTCCATGAATTCACAAGGTGAAAGAAAAGTAATGTGAAAAAGAATTAGTTAAATTCAGTCTTTTATCGGAGAAAAATGGTGAAATTGGGATCAAAGATTCATAACTTACACCATTATAGAGTAGGATTATCGGAGGAAGTCTTTTCTTTGGCTTTCTATGGTGGGAGTTTTGTCTTGCCCTTAACTAATTTAATAATCAAACTAAAATGGTCAAGATTATGGCATCATCTTATTACATGATTTCCTATAGTAACCGAAGCCTGCTGCATTTTGGTATAGTCCAATTTACTACATTTATATTTTCAATTATCATTGCCTGGGGTCATATTTTATGCCAGGTAGTTAGATAATATAAAGTTCGCAGAAAAGTTTGTAAAGGAAAAATAAATAAGTAAATAAATAAATAAAGCAATGCAAATACAAATATAGAAGGCACTGTTTCTTTAATAAAAAGATTTATGCAGAAAAAGCTGTTAATAAACTTAAATGTTCTATTATTATTAGCTCTAACTGCAAGTAATACTGAGAATGCATAGCTAGTAGTAAGAGAGTAAAGACGTACATAAGGCTTGAGCTGCAGTAAGTCTTGCACGAGGATCTTTCATTAGAAGCTTCTTCACAAAATCTTTAGCAGCATTGCTTATTCCTGGCCATGGTTTTCGCCGGAAGTCAGGTTTGTTCCTGAGGACCTACAAACACCAAAATGCAGTCATAACCCATTTGCAATATACACTATATCATAATAGAATCTAATATGTGTATCACTTTGTATGAAAATCTAAATTCTTGAAACGGGATAATATTTAGATATAGGTCTTCCTGTATGAGGCTTCCTAAAGCCAATACTATATCAATCTTTCGTGACAAAAAAAATTATCTTTATATTTTGTGAACAAATATAGCAAACATTGTGATTATGTATTAACAAGACAAATATTAATATAATTATACAATCTATAACCTCTTTAAATATGCCGTCTTCTGTTTTGTCCCAGAATGGCCTTCGGCCACAAAGCAAAATATAAGTAATTACACCAATGCTCCACACATCTGATTCGGGCCCAGATTTGCGCTTCAAAACCTCTGGAGCAACATAATATGCACTACCAACAATGTCTTGGAATTTCTTGCCTGATAAAATTCAACGAGTTTGAGAAAAATGAGAAACAATAAAAGGAGCACACCATATCTTGCATTTCATATATGAGCAAGCATTTCTTGAATGGATGCACAAAAAAAACTTAATAAATATTAAGAACTAGAGGTCAGAATCAAATAATGTAGTCACTAAAAAGCTAGTTTCTTCATTGCTGTTGATGTTTTTAACCAAATGGAAAAGTGGAGGCTCGAATCTGATTACCCGGACGAATGAAGTCTGAAAGGCCGAAATCTGTAGCCTTCAGGGGTGAATCCTCCTTTGCGGACTTGAATAAGAAATTCTGAGGAAAAAAGTACATTTTAGAATACCAATTAAGCATTAGTCAAGCCAATAATGAAAATACTTTTACCACATACCTCCGGTTTCATATCACGATGTACAAAGCCATGTAAATGGCATTCGGCCGCTACTTTAAGCATCTGCCTCACAACAATTGCTGCATCTTTCTCCGTGTAACGACTATCCTTTCTGTTATAGAAAAAAATAGATTTAACATCCAGACTAATAGCAAAGCTTCTATTAAACATCATGTATTTACAAAGACTAAATAGAGAATTCCAGCATGCTTACTTTGATAATATACGGTCGAGCAGTTCTCCACCCTCACATAACCTAAACAAACAAGTTGATAGAAAGTTATTCACACACTTTCTGTTACACACATCTTAATGTAGGAAAACCCAGTTCAGTTTGAAGCCAACACTTACTCCATAACTATGTATACATATGAATCATCCTCAAAAGCATTATAAAAGTGAACCACATTTTCGTGGCCAGCTAAAGCTTTCAATATTTTGACTTCGCGCTTCACATCCTCAACCGCAATAGGAAGAACCATCTGTCATGTATTCAAGAAGTTCTTAACTCACAGCCTTTTATCATTTTATGGTAAGTGAATTAGTATCGAGGAGAATCTTATTGGATGACTTGACATCTATCATCTAAACATCTATCTTGATAAAAACATAAAAAAAAAAACTGCATATTAAATGCCCCAGCATCATCATAGAGATCAAATGGTTAAAGTAAGAGAAAAAAGAAAGTGCCATCCAAATAAAAAATAGATAATTCACAATACAACCCCAGGTGATCCAAACATATTCATCTTGCATGCCGACTTCATGAAAGCTTAAAACATTCTAACCAAATCTTACACCTGATAATCTAATAGATTTGAGAATCCATCACTCAGAAAAAAACGGATAGAAGACAGAAGATCATCAATTAAAGGAAAAAATAAATAAGACAAAGCTCAAGTTCTTAGAAATCAATCCAATTAACACAATGCTAGAACACATGGCAATATAGCTAAATCATTCGTCTCAAGGACGGTATAAGTGAACAACACAGCCGTCAATAAACCAATTACTTTGTGAATATAAAAATTAAATGAATAAATAAATAAAACAGAAGGGGCAATTGGGAATAAACCTTGTTCTTCTCTATTCTCTTGACAGCAACACGATCTTCATTCGACTTATCAATAGCAACATAGGTATAACCAAATTGGCCATGCCCCAACAATTTTCCGATGGTATACCTCGTATGAAAATCCTTATCATACCCAAAATCTGTCCTTTTACCACACGGAATGACCCCGCTTGACTTTTTCGAAGTATTCTTAATTACGTGCTGGGATTGCTTCTGGTGTTGATGATCCTTGTTATTTTCACGCGGATTCTGACGATTGTGGGACCCCTCTTGTTTTTTCGATGTAGTCGTGGAAGAATTTCCGTAGGTAGCCGTTGAAGCGGCGGAGGAGCGGCGGTTCTTGGGGTTGTTGGCGGTGGTAGGAGGGTTGTTGCTGCCGGAACCACACACTTTTATGGTGGAAAAACAGGTTCCCATTGCTGAATTGAGAGAATGAGAAAAAGAAAAAAGATCCCAACTTTATTGACCCGAACCAAGGGATTCTGTATATTCAATGCAAGAATTCAAACGGGGGTACAGGAAAGACGGAGGATTATAAATCGCGAAACATGATGATATACAATTGGATTACAGGAAAGCTTAAAGCAGAGAGGAGGAAGAAGGGAAGAAGGAGATGAAGGTGGTGGACATGGTCAAAGAGAGAGAGGGGACTTCCAAAAGTTCCCCCTCTTTTCTCATTAATAATAATAATAATTTTATTGATTTTGATTGATAATTGTCTGTCTCTTTTAACCTTTGTCTTTGTTTCCTAGATTTTCAATGCTGATCCCCGCTTATTATATTTACTTGGATTGGGGTCTTTGGTTCAGACATTCCTCTTCTCTTTTCTCAGCCTAAAAAAGTATATATCCATTGCCTTCAAATTATTATGTTATATATTCAAAATAATTTATTATAAATTGGACATTAGAATAAAAAAAAATCATTCAACTAAAGTTTAGCAAAACAAAAAAAACCATTCAACTTAAAAATAAAAAAAAAATACAAAAAATACCATTGATGCGATTTTCGATTACTCTGTAACACGAACGAGCCTGTCTCTACAATCGAAAAATTATGTATTGATTTAGGGTCTACTAACACCCCGAATCAAAAATATAAAATAATAATTAGTAAATATTTTTTTGCTAACAAATTACATATATATTTTTTAATATATTCTTTAACTATATATATATATATATCTTTATATATATATATATAATTTTTGTAATACAACTAATTTATATATATATATATATCTTTTAATAAATATATATATATATATATAATTTTTGTAATACAACTAATTATTAATATATATATATTTTTTAATATATCTTTTATTTAACTTTTTTTAAGTGAAATTAATTATGATTAAAAAGTGAAATTTTTTACCCATTTAAATAGTGATTAATTAATTTAATAATATTTAGTAATTATTATTCTTCTGATAATTAAAAATATTTTTTATCCAATAAATTAATTAATATATTTTTTATTTATTAATATAATATTTTTTTGAAAAAAATGCAAGGGGCAAAATTGTCCAAAGGGGGGGCGGTGAGTAGTAATAGGGGGCGGTGAATAGCGATTGAGTTTGTAAATTGTGTTCCATTTCACGGTGTTCTGTCCTAGCTGTAAATTCACTAATAACTCCGTTCCACTTCGGATCTATAAAATCGGGAACTAACGGCTTCCAGTTTTATTTTATATTTTCCTTCAAACTAGTATAAATATCATGTACATAAAATTTTTGTAAAATTGTATTAGTCATATGTATTTACTAGTACAATACCCATGTATTATACGGGTGTTGAATTAGAAAGCTTTTGTAAAATTTTTTTTATAAACTAAAATAATTAGTTTTATATAAAACATTACTATGGGTTTTAATAAAATTGTCAAATTATATTTTTCTAATCATAATAATTAAACACCCGTACATTAAATAAAAATGTCAACCCGTGTTGAATTTTTTTACTTATATCATATAAAAATATTGATATTATTTACTATTACATAAGTATAAAAATATATATCTTAAATATATAGAAACAAATGGTGATATGTATATGCATAAGTGTAGAATATGTTTATTTAATATTAAACAAAATAGGTTAATTTTTTTACTTAATTAGCTGCCTAATACATCAAGTGTCGTATCAGTTGTGTTTCACAGTTTTTTAACTTTATATATAATTTAGAACTTATATAAACAATTATTTATTTTCTAAAAACTTTTCAAGTATATAGATTAATTTTTTTACTTAATTAGATGTCTAATACATCAAGTGTCGTATCAGTCGTGCTTCACAGGTTTTTAACTTTATATGTAATTTTAGAACTTAAATAAATAATTATTTATTTTCTAAAAACTTTTCAAGTATATGTAATAATTTTATTTTCTAATTAATTTTAATAAATAATTTATTTATTATTATAAAGATAAATATAATTTATTTATTTTATATATATAATATGGGTGCCAAATCAAAGCTCATCAAAAGATGATTAATTTGATATATTATATATGTAAAACCGAACAAAAGTTATCAACTTTTAAAATATATTTTCAACCCAATGGTTATAATAGGAAACGATATTAAAATACAATTAATATAAATATTAATTTATATCCAAGTCTAACTCCAAAGCATGATTTTTTGCCAAATAGGATTCCGAAGCATGAAAGTTTGTTACGTACACTCAGCGCATTCTGAAATTATATATAGAGGGGATATTATATTTCAAACAAAAATTATATAATTTGACTATCCATTCAATAAATTTAATAATTAGTAAAAATAAACAATATAATTACAAATTATTTTACTTATGTATGAATAGTTATAAATTGCATAAAATATAATAAATAATGTAGTTTTTAAAAATGTAAAGGGTTGTGACCATAGTTTTTAAACATGGAGTGGAAATCGACATGAACAGGTTTCCAGGTCACCGATTCAACCGTCAGGTCACAAGATCAATTGCGGAATCGGATAATTAACTTTAGAATTTTTAAAATTATTTCTGTGGTATTTTGTTCATACAAATATATATAAAACTAACAAAAATTAAATATTTTGTGTATATATTTTGTACATCAAAGTGTTAATAACATTGTATCTCATAATAAATATTTACCATATAAATATATATATATATACATAGTTTTATTTTAACGCATTATTGAGATGCATTCTGGGAAAGCCATGCTTCTCCTTGTGTAATGCAAATAGTTGTTGGATGTCAACAACACTTGGTGAATGTAAGTTTTGAGATGCTAATGCCTGACAGACAGCTCGACAAAACTCCATAAAACTTTTATTGTTGTTTGCTCAGACGTGCGTTAGTACTCATGACATGATCGGCAGGTGCTCCGTATGCTAGTGGGCATACAACAGCAGTACACTTCTGAATGGGTGAAAAACCGTGTCTATCGGACGCATCTGTTTTGCTCTTGAAATGATCAGAATAATAGTCAATTGAATCAGCACTACGATAAAATAAATGTCTAGGCATACGAAATCCACGGCGGAAGATGCCCTCGTGATAGGTGGGTTCGGTAGCAAAACAATCTCTTATTAATAGAGCGTGTCCGACATCACGGCCTCGAAGGACTATTCGCCTTTCTCGCCTACTTGAATTTTCACCTTGTTCGGTTTCTTCAAACTGATTAATCAGAGCCTCCATTACGGAAAATTCAGCCTGCCCCGGAGAATCATCAAGCATATTTTTCAAGAAAGCACCATATGCTACTTTGTCATTGGTTTGCCTAAACATCTTATAAGAAGAAAAGTTATAAAATACTACAAAAAAAAAAAAAAAAAAGACAAATAAGATGCAGAAGGAAAAATTATTTGGTGAAGATGGTATTGTGTTTGAGACATCTATTTATAATGATAAAAGATAAGATGTGCTAAGTTAGGTGGGTATTACGTGAGTGTCCATCACTATAACTACCTTTTATTTACTTCTTGGTTGGATGTCATTTAATTTGCATAAATAACTAATTTATTTTGTGGGCATGCATTTAGTGCATGTAGAATATGGTACGCAAAATACAATAAAATATGGTAAAAAATCAAATTAAACACAAAGGATAAATCAAGTATACAATTAAATTAAATACAATACGAGTACATAAAAATAAAATACAACTACAAACTAAAATTAAGCACAACAAAAATTACTTAAAATAAAATACAGTACATAATCACCATTAGAAAATCATTTAAATTTCAATTCAGGCCCAATTCCTCTTTCAGTTCAGTAAGAAGCCTGTCGTGCGCTTTTAATTCTTCTTCAATCATTATTGCAGTGTCCTCTTTTAGTATTTCTCGATAGGTCTTCCAAGAATCTATACAAACCAACCTTTTAAGTTCATTTTGTTGTTTTTCATGTATATCATTAATATGTCCAAATACTTCTAACATACGTTCAACTTTCCTATCAGCGTTACTTCTCATACCAAAACCTTTCTCTTCCCTGCCTTTCTGCCTTCTGACCAATTGGGCGACGCACATATTTCTCATCATCATCCCGACCTGTTCCAAATCTTGGCCAGATCCAGAAGTGTGATCTCCTGATTCAGACATTCTAGATTTTTTTTCCTCGTTCACTCAACGAGGTCATACCATGGTGAACTATGGTTCCATACCTCCAATGAATTGGAAATCGAGGAACCACACTTGAGAATGAGAACAAGACTGTAAAGGAAAAAGGAAGACAAAAGAATGAAGTTAGAAAGGACTCGACGGGTTGATTCATCATACTTTTTTTGGGGCAAAATTATTGAGTCCAGTTACAGGGCTCTATTTTAGGGCGCGCGTGACAAAAGGAGGGGAATGGTTTCCCCCCTTTCTGGACTTTCCCCCCTTCCCCCACTCGCTCGCTTCTTGGAATAAGCTCGCTTCCGCCCGTTCGAAATACTCCCCCAAGCATCCCTTCACTCCCTTCCTTAACACACTGGGAGTAGTAGTATTTTTTAGGCTTAATTCGGGGAGCAACTGCACCCTGCCCTCACGAACAAGCGCTACGGCTAAAATAGAGATTGCAAGAGTAAATATTTGCCCGCGAAAACTTTCTCTTTTTTAACTCTTTTTTCTTTGTTTTGAATTAGTAAACTTGTATAAAGGACAAAAGACAATACAATTGATTTTCGGTTCATTTCGCCATCCCAACTAGTGAATCAGTAAGATTCAGTTGTTCAATAAATCTTTTGTATTCACAGATTTCATCGTTCCCACCACTCCGTACTTAATGGTTAGGCCAGAACTATACAGCGGAGCTCATAATCCAATTTATTCTTGTGTCAACCTTCTTAGTCTTTATTGTTAGAGTAGTATACCCAGCGTTCCAATCGGATTGGACGTATTCTACTTGTAAATACAATCTATTGGAATTATATTAATTAAAAGGCATTACTTTATCTTAAGAGTAAGCATTTATCTTATATTTTCACTTAAGATAAAATCCCTAGATCACATATAGTTATAAGGTATGGTTGCGCATAGAGATGGTAATCATGGAACATACCTTGAAAGCTGTGATCTTAAATATAGTTCCAAGTCGACGGATGTTTCGAGAAGGGATATCGAATAATCCATAAAAGACTTGCACATAGTATGTATGCTTGTTGGACAAGAATGTTGCATTCCATCAACATTAGCGTATGACGCAAGTACATTTATGTGGGTGCTTGTTAGAGAACAAGTTCACTGAACGTGACCGTATGAAAATTCTTAATGA